AATGAGGCAAACGGGTGATTTTGCAAAAGAACTCTGTTCGCCCTATTTTGGGTATTGTGATGAATCACTGGCAGTTGAATTTTCCCACAGTAGACCTTACGCTTTCATTAAATTTCACATAGCCTTGCTTGCCCAAACTATATTCTCACTACGACTCGAGTGGACTGCAATTTAGACTTCGCCTGAACTGGTCTTCTCAGCTCCCCCAGAGGAACTCGAACCCGGGTCGTGGAAGTGAGGCATATAATCTCAACACGTCAAGCACTAAGACAAACTACCACTTTCGGTGACAGGACTTTTGATTTAGCTAATTTGTATTTGCTAAAGCAATAGACTGATTTACTTATTTTTGTTTTCAAGTAGGCGTTCGAGACCACCAGTAGTTTGTGAATAAAGACTTTGTCCCTCCTATTTCGTTTAAGGTGATTAAAGATGAGTATTAGAATTTTTCACAATCAAATGATCACGGCTTTATTGAAGTCTACATTGTCTCGCTTCCTAAAAAGATTTCTTTATGGAAATGTGAGGTCTGCATATCCGATTGTGGGAAAATTTAACTTCCAGTCATTCATCACCATACTCAAAATAGGATGAACACAGTTCTTCTTCAAAATCACAGGTTTGCTTTATCTACAATCCCACGATAATCATGTGATTTGGGAAAGACCTGTGTTGTCTTGAAAGTTAAGTATCACATAAAAGATAATCGCTGCACGGCTTTTGTTTGTATCTCTTTGAGGGTGTTAATGACATTGAGGCAAAGTCGAAACTGCGGTATAGTCCAGACTGGATAAGAATACCTTTTGGTAAGTAAGGTGATGTGAAGTTCAATGGCATCATGTGGGAGAATTCACCCATCAGTTCTTCATCACCTTATGCATCCTAAAGCAAGTAGATCTTTTATTTTAGATTTACTGGTAGTTTCAAAGCCTATTTTGTATGAATACCTCGGTGACCTTGACATCAACCCATCTTGGTTGGCTCGGTACAATTCAAATGAATGGAATAGAGGAATTTGCTATTATCCTCGGAATCCGGTAAGGAAAGAACACTTAAGACTGGTTGGTGGCGCTTTTATTTCGTATGAAAGTAGGTCCATCTCACCAGAAGAGGACGGCTGAATCCCGTTTCTACTGCAGCCGTTTAGCTTTGATACGACGTTCTGGTTAATCCAGTCCACGAGACCTCCTCCCTCGTTTCGGGTAAAATTGGGCTGAGCTTTCGTCCATCATTCGATTCACATCATCAGAGCTGGGTCTCCTTCCTGGAAACGTATCACGCCACAAAACCGTCAAGACTATTCAGTTCTATCTTACCTCTTATAGAAATTGAATTAAGTCAAGATAGAATAAAAAACCTAGATAAATATAGAATGGGTTGG